CCGGCAACGGACCCGGCGAATCATCATCACTCTCGGATTCTTTTTCCTGCTTCATTTTTTCATGTGTGTACAATAGGTATGCAAACCTTGACCGCTCAACATCAATGTCAAAGGTATCAGGAGTGATGGGCTCATTAGAAACAAAATACTCCGCAAAAGCAGCAACAAATGCACCACAATCACTGGCAAGTATGTAAACAAGAAATATAGAAAAAATGTAATTAATAGTTAAATAAAAAAGAACATATCAAAGTTGTAAACTAAATTAAAATACAACTTACCAGCATTGCTGCCGGGGCAAATCTTCCACGAAAATGACATCAAGAGGATCATTCTCTGCCTTGCCCGAGTAGGGACCAATGTTTGTTTTGATGTCAGCACGTCTAGAGACAAAGTGTACCAAATCAAGAAATATGGGTATCAATATGGAATATCGTTTAACACTCTCTAGCATAACCTAGTCAAAATCAGTCGATCGATAGGAGTTATAAATCATCAACGTCCTAGTTGCGAACGACAACCTCCCTAATATCCAATGGCCTACGCCTTGCAATTCAACATGAATCAGAAAGAGTACGTGATCAACATTGAGCCATGACGGCCCACAGATAATTTTGAAGCCAAACATGTAGTCGACAATGACACTATTGATCGTACAAATCCGGGGGTCACATGAGTTAACAATGTACAAAGAATATAGTGACTTCATTTGCTGGTCGAAAAAATTATCAGTGGTAGTAAATTTCTGAGACGGTTCAAGCGCATACAGTCCAATCTTTCGGATGTAGTAGAACAAAACATCAATATGCTGAAAAATAAATATTTAAAAATTAGTATGCGAAAAAAGAAAAAAAGATGAAGACCATCACAGTAAAATGATACTTACACTACCGTCAAGGAAACAGTCGGATTCATACAAGGTGTAGAACCAATTCTTATCAGAAATCACGTCAACGTTAAAATCAAATGGGGGGCTTAAGGTTGTATGCTTCTTGTCATAGAACAAAAACCTTTCAGAAGATGAATTAAATTTAAAATAAGAAAAATGAACAAATGAAGAAATGTAATAAAAACAACAAAATGAAAGTACATACCCTTCATTTTTCTTACGCCGCTTCTTAAGCTTACCCACCTTGAGCCACTTAAATAAATCATCAGTTACATCAAAACGTATCGTGTCCCAAAAATCGGTGTCGAAAGGGCATGACTTACAAATAACTGGTCCTTTTTTTACACGTTTGCTTTTCTCAAATGGGATGTCGACTACCGGCACTTGATCATCCGCATTCTGGTTAACCTGTGAATAAACTTTTTTGGTTTATTTTTAGGACATCGAACGGTAAGATAAACTGTGAATAAACTATTTGATTTCAATTCAAGAAAAACATGAGGTTTATTTTTAGGACATCGAACGGTACGATAATCTGTGAATAAACTTTTTGATTTCAGTTCAAGGAAAACATGAGGTTTATTTTTACGACATCGAACAGTAAGATAAACTGTGAATAAACTATTTGATTTCAATTCAAGGAAAACATGAGGTTTATTTTTAGGACATCGAATGGTACGATAAACTGTGAATAAACTTTTTGATTTCAATTCAAGGAAAACATGAGGTTTATTTTTAGGACATCGAACGGTAAGATAAACTGTGAATTTGAAACCTTATGCACATCCATTGCACCAACACCAACCAGATAAATTGAATATATAAACCTACACACACACACACACGCATTTGTTCAAATACTTTAATCATTAACAAATGACTATAACCACAGATAAACCACAGATAAACCAACAAAAAACAATATGCATAAACAAGGATTACTGATTTGTTGGCAGTTTGCATGCTTTTCAATTTCCCCTCGGTCGTCCTATCAATCTCATCAATCATTTCTGTAGTCCAAAGAGGGAAACCATCATCATCAAAATCTTCATTACGTTCACCACTCCCTTGTACAAACTGAAAACATATCAATTAAACAAAAAAAGGATTACTGATTTTAAAGGTAGACAAAGCTGTGATCATAGAAACAAAATCGAATATAGACTCACAACTCCACCATCAACTTCCTTGTGGATCCCAACGTTCTCTTGTTGACGACTACTTCCTGGAACATCGTTGGACTTAGCACCCTCTCCACCATTTAATCCCTTAAAAAGTAAACATAGTTAACTTAGATAAAAAATAAATTATGAAAACACAAATGATACATAAATACATTTAACTTAGATGTGTTTTGTTAATAAGGAAAAATGGTAGATTGAGCATAAACCGTTTGAGGAATATCTTGGTTATCCACATCATGGGGGAGGTCTTGTTGTTTACCACTTTCTTCATGCTGATACATAGTTAAGTGAAATATTAAAAAAACGAAACACATGTATATATATGTAAAAGTAAACCAACAATAAACCAATTATAAACTTACCAGCTTTGTTTCTTTAAGACTGAGGATCTCATGCATCACTTTAGTCGAAAAGTCGGTAAACAACTTCTTCAGATCATCAACATCATTCTTGACTAACTTTTTCAAATCATCCAAATCATCCATAATCTTCACTTGCTTTGAAGACAGCTCGTCTAAACGTTGTATAATAGGAGACTCGGTTGGACCGGGAACAGAGAATGTATGAGAACTTTTAGTTTCATTACGGAAGAACTCGTTCCTTTCGACAAAAAACCCGTCCAGCTGAAGCGTCATCTTCTCCGATTCGGTGGGAGTTATATTTTTGAACTGAATGGATAAATACCCATAAAAAAATAAAACAACTTAGAGCAATGTTGTGAAAAGATAACTTAATAATAAAGTATTATAAAAAGGGGACTAAGAGAAACCTTATCTGATGGCAAGGTCAAGAAAACCCTCTCGATGAATCGTCTACCACGTGTCACATGTACCTCCCAATTTAACATCTGTGGTACATTAGAAACTGCAAGACGAGTACATATGACTCCATCTGTGCTATCACACACCTCATAAAACCACAACTGGAGTGATAGAATAAACCCTCGTATCCTATAGACATATACTCTTTTTTCAGTGCCATCTAATTGCTGCAACAAAGTCTCCTTGTTACGAGATGACATCTTTAGATAATCAATGGTGTAGTCGTATACCTCTTTACCCCACGGATAATTATCACAGTCTTGGCTATCAAGAATATCTAACAAACACCTATCAAACAAAAGATTATCCTGAGCCCCCATGAGAAAATTTGCGAGCAAGTGAAGCTTGGCAAGTTTGATTGCATCATGGTCGTTTATCCACGCTCTGTTAAGAAACTGCCCTTTAATAGAATGACGGGACAAACCAACATTGGCAAAATATCTATCAAAAAGACCATCAGGGACAGGAGGAAAACAAAGTTTTTTACACGAGCCATTGCATTTCAGACCACTTATCACAGCGAACTCCTCGACCCCAAATCTCATGATCTTCCCACCAAAGTCAAACCACAGTTCATCCAACCTCGGCTGGTGTACTTCTCGTAATGAAATCAAATTGAGAAGTTGGTTCTGAACCTTACAATGAGGTAGGTCAATAAATTTACCAAAAGCAGAATTTCTAAACATCTCTAATTGATCATTCGACAACAGACGCTTAATGTCAGCAATAGGCGTGGTAGAACGACTGTTATCATTGCTGTTGATTATCTTCACGGTCAATGCTCTTGAGTTTGGAACAATCAATTCCCAATCCTAATAAAAACAACAAACAATTGATACCGACAATAACACTAAAACATATAGGCTAGATCTAACTAGTTTATACAGACATAACCTACAATGACATTCTTTGCTTGTCAACATGCATAGCAACAATTTTAGTGATAATCAACAAACAACATGTATAGCAATAATTTTAGTGAGAATAAACAAACATATGAAATAACAAAAAATTGGACAAACTTAAACATAAATTATAAGAACACAGATAGTAGGAAAACATACTTCTAAAGGAAAAAAATACCTTGTGTTCTCTTTGTGGTTTATTCCTGACATCTTCATCGTCAAGCTCGGAACAAATCGATTTATGCCTATGTGTGTTGCCCTTGGACCTCCTCGGTACTGATTTGCTAGCCTCAGAGCCATCCTCACTTTCTTCTTCGTCCAAAGAAATGCATTGTTCAACTTCAAAATCAGAATCGATGTCTTCTGGATATTTAACCTTCCTCTTCCCCTTAGCATCGCCCTTGACCTCCATTGGATTATTTTGAGAAAATCGTTTCTTCTGAGCACTAGAACGAGTAATCGGGCGTCTGATATGCGATTGATCTTCCACAAATGACTTTCTCTCCTTTATAACAACGCCTTGGGTCTGCTGATTCTTCTTGGCAAACGGAATTTTCTTTTGAACGAGCCTTCGACGCTCGGGAACTGCAACCTTGGGATGCTTTTGCTCCATAGCTCCTCTGCCTTCAGATGAAGTATCAGAGACATAGTTTTCGTCCTTCTCTCTCGCCATCTAGATCGAGATTTGTTTCCAGAACTTTGCTTTGAACATATTAGGGTAGGATCTGAAGAAAAGGTAATTATCAACTCCACTGCAATTTTTTGATATGCGTGTGTGCAGGTTGCGTGTTTTGGTGGAGGAGATAATTTCAGAATCTCAATTAATGATAAAGTTACCGTTTTTTATTCAGCTAATTAATGATTAATTAGAAGTGGGAAAGTGGGATTGAATTTTTGCATAATTTCGTAATTGGGCCTTTAGAAAATCAGATGTGTGAAACATTTTAAAATCTCGTATAATGGGCTTCATAAAAACCTGAGCTCGTGCGCAGGGTAATTTTTTCTGAGTTAATTGTGTCAAACCATAATGACCGGACCAAAAATATACTTCCTTCAGCTATGCAGACATACATATTACATTATTTGCATATTGCCATTTGATTGTAGTTTTGCAAAATTTTATTTTTTATGTACTTTCAAATCTTGTACTTCAAATAGAGGATGTTTGATGTGAGAAAATACAAAAAATATTTATATTTTTTAAAAATAATGAAAGTTACATAAAGATGTTTACCACACAACGTGAATTAAATCAAACACCACTTACCATTGCCAAGTGAATCAAAAAAGCATTCCACCACCAGAATAAAGTCATTCCTTCACCATAGGAAATACCAAATCAAAAGAAAAAAAAAATCAAATCATTCAAAAACGACATGAACATGATAAAATACACATGTCCGATTAGTAAAAATAAACTACAAGTAAGAACAAATCAGACAAGTACATACACAGATCCAAGAGGCCCCCCAAAATAA